AAGAGATCAACCAAAGGAATCATATGCATGCATATAAGCCTAACCAATGGACACAGACAACAGGGGGTGAGGGCATCAGTGGGGGGATAGAGGGGCAATGGGGTCATAAGGACACATATATACTACCTTAAAAAAACAAAGAAAAAAATGAAAAAAGTATAATTGGCATAAAGATAGTCAAATAGATCAGCGGAATAGAATAATATGTCTATATATATATACCTTCATTTTTTGGGGTCAATTGATTTGCAAGAAAAATTCAAGGTAATTTTGTGAAGAAAATAGTGTTCTCCAATGATGATGCTAGAACAAGGGACATTTCAATACAGGGTGTGGCAAAAGTAGATTTACAGTTATGAGTACGCAAAATACAGAGTTAATCCTTGTATTATTATTTATTAACTAGAGGCCTGGTGCACAAAAGTTTGTGCACTCAGGGGTCGGGGGGGTCCCTCAGCCAGGCCTGTGTCCTCTCGCAGTCTCGGACCCCAGAGGGGATGACCACCTGCTGGCTTAGGCCCGTTCCCTGGGGGATCAGTAGCAAGCTGGAAGTCAGACACCCCTCTGGCAGCTCAGGAGCCCTCGGGTGATGTCCGCTTGCCAACAGGGAGCAGGGCTAAGCTATAGTCTGACATCCTTAGTGCTGCTGAGGAGGCGGGAGAGGCTCCCACTACCACTGCTATACTGGCAGCCATCAGCCTGGCTTGTGGCTGAGCAGAGCTCCTCCTGTGGGAGCGCATTGACCACCAGGAGGCAGCTCCTGTGTTGAGCGAGATCAGGCCAAAACTGGCTCTCTGACATCCCCCGAGGGGTCCCGGATTGCGCGAGGGCACAGGCCAGGCTGAGGGACCCGCCCTCCCCCTGAGTGCACAAATTTTTGTGCACTGGGCCTCTACTTGTATGATAAGCTGCTTTACTATGAGATGATCCATCAGTAAAAACAGTTAATGCTTCATGAATAGGTTTTTCCTAGTATTTTTTGGTATAATAATAGGAATGTAATATAAAAATTGTAGTAATTAGTTTTTCAGTAGGTGATAACTAAATTCCCCTGAATATCCAGTTTGCCAATTCAAATTAGTCTTGCATGGAGTCCAGGGCCGGTCAGGGCAGGTGGGAAGCTTGGCTTCCTCAATTGCCTGGGCAACCAAGCCTCCTGCTTGCTCCAGCTCTGTGGCTCCCGGCCGCCATCTTGGTTGGGTTAATTTGCATATACTCACTCTGATTGGCTGGTGGGCATGGCTTGGGGGCATAGCGGCGGTATGGTCAATTTGCATGTTTCTCTGTTATTGGGTAAGATTATTGTGTTATTTTCCATATGAACAACTATGAACCTACTTTTGTCCCACCCTATATCAATAAGACACTTGAACTACAACTACAACAAATATATCTATCACCACATACTAAAATGAACTCAAATTGGATTATAAATTTAAATATAAAACCTAAAACTAAAAACGTTCTAGAAAACATAGGAGAAAAACATTTATGGTCTGAGATTACACAAATAACCCTTAAATAGGACACCAAAACATAATTTAAAAACTCAAAATGTCTAAGGGAATTAAACGTAAGACAGGAAACCATAAAAATCCGAAAAGAATCCATAGGCTGCAAAATATCAGACATATGTTGTAGCAATATCTTTACCAATATAGCTCCTAGGTCGATGGAAACTAAGTAGAAAATAAACAAATGGGACTACATCAAAATAAAAGGCTTCTGCACAGCAAAAGAAACCATCAACAAAATAACAAGAAAACCCACTGCATGGGAGAATATATTTACCAATGTTATGTACAATAAGGGTTTAATCTCCAAAATGTATAGGGAACTCATACATCTTAACAACAACAAGATAAACGACCCCATTAAAAAAATGGGCAAAGGACCTAAATAGACACTTTTCAAAAGAGGACATATTGAAAACCAAAAGACATATGTAAACATGCTCAAAGTCACTAATCATCTGAGAGATACAAATCAAAACAACAATGAGGGACCATCTCACACCTGTCAGAATGGCTATCATCAACAAATCAACAAAGACTTGGAAACAGCCTAAGTGCCCATCAGCAGATGAGTCGATTTAAACTGTGGTACATCTACCTAATGGAATGCTACACTGCTGTAAAAAGAAGGAACTCTTACCATTTGCAACAGTATGGATGGAACTGGAGAGCATTATGCTAAGCAAAATAAGCCAGTTGGAGAAAGGTAAATATCATATGATCTCACTCATTTGTGGAATATAATGAACAACATAAACTGATGAACAAAAATAGAGCCAGAGTCATAGGAGCATCGAAAAGACCGTCCAATCTAAGAAGGAAGGCAGGTGAGGGCGTGGAGTAAGAGATCAACTGAAGGACTTGTATGAATGCATATGAGCATAACCAATGGACACAGACAGTAGTGGGGGAGGGCATGTGCTGGGGAGTGGGAAAGGCTGGGAAGTGATAAATGGGTGAAAAAAGAGACTACGTAGTACTTTAAACAATAAAAATTATAAATTTTAAAAAGTGTATAAATAAAACTTCATCATAATAAAGAACTGCTTTTAGAAAGGTACTGTTAGCAGAAGTGATTAATTTTGATGAAGTTTTATTTATATACTTTTTAAAATTTAAATTATTTAGTGTTTAAAGTATTACATAAGTCTCCTTTTTCACCCACTGACCTCTCCTCAGCCTCTCCCACCCCCAGCACATGCCCTCACCCCCTACTGTCTGTTTGTGTATGTTCTTTTATTTAATGAGCTATAACTCAATAAATATTTATTGAATAAAAATATATTTGAAATTAAAAAGATACTGTTAAAGAGAATAAAAAGACAAACTATAGACCAGAAGAAAACATTTGGAAACAACCTATATGATAAAGGACTTACCATCCAAAATATATGAAGATTCTCAAAACTCAGTAAGAAACAACCCATTTTAAAAAATGGGCCAAAGATTTGAACAGACATTTTATTAAAGAGAATATATAGATGTCAAATAAATGCATGAAGAGATGACTGACATCATTAATCTTCAGGGTAATAAAATTCAAAACCACAATAAGGTACCAGTACACACTTATGAGATGTCCAAAATTAAAACAAGACTGACCATACCAAGTGTTGAGAAAGATGTAGACAACTGAAACTTTCATATTCTGCTGGTGGGAATGTAAAAATTATATAACCACTTTGGAAATGTTTAAGTGTCTTTAAAATAATTTAAAATATATACCTACTATATAACCCAATCATGGCTGGGGAGAAAGAGGAATGATAAGCAGAGCATGAAGGACTTTTAGGACAATGAAACTATTCTGTATGAGACTACAATGGTAGACATGTGTCATTATACTTTTATCCAAACCCACAGAATGTACAACACCAACTATAAATCCTAATGTAAACTACAAAAGAAAAATAAAATAAAATATACAATCCAGTCATTATACTCTAGGTATTTAAGTGTGAAAAATGAAAATATTTGTCCATACAATCATTTGTATGTGAATGTTTTAGCAGTTTTATTAGCAATATCCAAAAACTGCAAACACAAACATCCATCAAGTGAATGAATAAACAAATCGTGGTATATCCATAAAGTGGAATACTCAAAACAATAACATGAATAAAGTATAAGTGCATGTAACAACATGGATGAATTTCAAAATAATTCTGCTGAGATAAGTCAGACAGAAAATAACTATAAAATTCCATTTATATAATGTCCTAAAACATGCAAACCAAACAGTAACAGAAAGCATCCAGTAGGGGTGGGACAGGATGGAAACTTTACAAAGGGGTACAAGAAAACTGTTGGAGTGATGGAAAAGCTAATTATTTTGATTGTGATGATGGTTTCAGGCGTATATACAAATGTCAAAATTTATGAAAGTGTGTGCTTTAATATATGCAGTTTATTGTATGTAATTTACACCTCCATAAAACTGTTTTAAACGTAAATAAATTAAACACTACTCCCAGAGGCACTTTGGTAGCTTCTGCAGCCAAAGACCTAGGTGTGGCCTTATATGCTTCATCCAGTTATTTAAATTGATCTTGTGCCTAAGAGAATAATAAGTAGCACATTGAGATAATCTAAATGACATAGGCAGATAGAAAATGCTATTAATTGGCATATTCACTAAATGCTATGCAATGAAACAAATATCATTTAATATTTCTATAGGAAAAAGAAACAAAAATTATTTTTCTTAGTTTTGTTTCAAGAAAACATGTAAAGATTTACAAACAGATACCTCTTTGGATAATCTTGTGAAGACATCTCCTCCTCTGAGAAAATCCAGTATTAAATACAGCTTCCCTTCAGTCTGAAAGGCTAATTTAAAAATAGAATATAGTAATATAGCAATATTAAAGGCTTAAAAAGCTTAGTATACTTTTAAATTAATATGTAAGTTTAGAATTTTATCACTGAACACTATATACCAATTAAGCATTTACTCACATGGTCCATTATTGAATCACATTATGTCAAATTTAAAACTGGTGTTGAAATAACTATAAAACCCTTCCAAGAACATAATCAATCTTGCATGTGGCTTTACACAGAAACTTCTACTACCCTCATTTTCCTGATTTTTGAACATCATGTTATACTACTAGTGTCTGAACTCTGCATCCCCACCTATTGTAAATCTACTAATTCTTTCACGCTCGACCAAAATGCCACCTCTATCCTCTATTAAGGATTTCCCCCTTTTCTCATTTCCTACAGCACCCTTACACTTCCCCATCAGCTTTACTTGCTACTACTTTTGAGATTGCATGGTACTTTATTTATGTCTCTCTTATGGTAGTTACTCCATTTGAGTTGTATAATTAATTTATTTTCATTTAATGATGTCTGTATTCTTTATAGGTTATAAATTTCTTGAAAGCAGAAATTGTTTCACCTTCAGAGCTCACTACATCTAATACAGTGTTTTGTACACAACTGGTATTTACTGATTAAACTAATTACATCCAGGAGATTAAAGGAAATCTTTAGATACTACCATTTTCATTCCATTGGGGTAACAAGGAGTGAAAGAATAATTTCTTGAACATTATTTATAGATATAGTTGGGTATATATTTTAATATAGTATTTGTCAACATTACCTAAGAATAAAATAAATACCTGATACTTTTTTAAATTTCAAAAATTGAAAATGGACATAGTAGTCTATATTGGGGATTTAATGATGTATATACCTTTGAATTTTCCACTGAAGCTAAACTCAACAATATCATGCATACATTAAATTAGCAATGGAGCCATGATTCAATCTCAGAATTGTCTGATTTAAAATTCATGTTCTTTCTATAACATCTACTGCTTTTCACTGCTATTCTTCTCCCCCTAAATATAAGAAAGAATAACTCAAATACACTAACAAAATTACATTACTATCTTAAATAGAACCAGGAAATAAGATAAATATGCTCATTGTGAACATGTACTGGAGCATAAACACTATAATGTTTTGAATAAATTATCACAGAATTTTATAGCCTAATATCATAGGAGGTAAAGCCTAGTAGGATATAGAAATATTGCCAGACAAATAAGCAGAAGACACTATCTTGTTTACTTAGACAAGTTAATCAACAAATATAAGAAATACAACTAGAAGCTATTGATTCTTACTTCAGATAAATACTTTTCATATAGCTGGATATATTAAATTAGTTTGAAGTATTTACTTCTTATTATATTATCTGAAAAGAAATCCTTTTTTATGTCACTAGATAATCAATGAATCAAACCTGTATTGAAGCTTAAATTGTGGTACAGAAATACATTTCAACTGATTGAATTCCAACACTACCATGAAGAGAGAAATTATGGCACCAAAACTGTCCCTCTATCACAACATACTAGGATTAATTTAAATTACTACAGTTTTCATTTTTCTAGGTTTTTTTTCATTCAAATTTTTGCAGTATTTCAACAATAGAAATTTCAAATCTATTAGAAAAAAGATTAGACCTCAAGCCAACACATGTCATCAAATATACTGGAATACTGTTCAAGAACAAAATCCACTTTGAGCTTTGGTCCTCAAAACAATGCCAAACATTAGCTACTGTGTGCTAATTACAGAATCAAACTGGTCTATTAATTGAAAGCTTCAATGAAAATTTTTATCAAGAACATGATTAAAATAAAATTCAAAAGTGTTCCAACCACTTGATTTCAAACCAAGTATATTTTATATTTAGAAACAGTAGAAAAATGTTTTGTTTATAAATATGTAAGGAATGAAAATAACACTGCATCAAGCCACACAAAAAAATTAAATATTTTTGAGGACAAAAATATAAAATTTAGTCAACTTTGTTGTTTTCTAGGCTGCTTAAATATCACAGTATTTGCAAATACAGCTAAAAATGCAAATCTTGAAAGCTGTATTTCTAGTAATTTCTCACTGACCATTTTAGAATTCTGCATGTTGTTCTATGGATAGCATTCTGCTTCACTGTGTGTGTCTGGTCATTCACTCGATCCTCAGATACCATGGTGAAAGAAACACCACCAATAAGAGGAACACAAAGTCAGAACATCCAGCACACGCATAATAAAGGCATAGAACTTCAAGTCACAAGATGACAAAGACATTGATGCTGTTTGAACTAAAGTTTATGGTGTATTATTGATGGAATTTAGTGGAAATGGCTACTAAAATGGAAAATAAGGTGAGTGATCTGATTTGACTTACTGAATCCAGCACAATCTTTATCTGAAATCTCCTTGCTAATATAGTTAGTGATAATTTTTTTTTATATTACTACTTAGCAAGTTAGTAAAGACACGGTACTTAAGAAAAGTTAATCTTATTTACTGAAGAGTACAGAATGACATACAGTTCCCATATAGTTCTGCCAGTATATTCTAATATTAATCTATGTGTTTTTCTTGCTAATCAACACTTGAAATTTATTTTGGTCACTATCTTCTAAAAGAGCCAATGCCAATTTTTAAAAAGCCAAACTCCCTTGACCTTAAAAGAAAATTAAGTCTACAGTCCATTCCTTTTCCCCCTCTAGGGTATAAGATTGGTATAAACCCAGTGTAACAGTGTATTGCTTTATTGAGTTGGGGTTGGGAGGGGAGACAACATGGTGAGGAACAAAATCAATTAAAGGAATAGAAGCTCAGGAAGCAATAATGTTAAAATAGTAATACACAAAATGGTTAACTAAAATCACTTTGTTAAGAGGACTCAACTCATGGAAGACAAACTAATTGCTATTGCAAAAAAATCTGTAGGAAGTAGAAATTGGTTTCAACAACGGTAGAGAATACGTTCTAGAAATTGGAGGTAACTAGATGTAATAACCTGGGAGCAATTTAATAGAACAGCCCCAGTTGCTAGGCTGAGGCTAACACCTAGGGAAGATAAAAGCATTGTCTGTAGGGAATTTTGGATGATAACTAGAGAAATATTACACTGTGTATAAACCAAATTGAATTGTCACAAGTGTTGTAAAGTCTCATATAGTAAATTTTTGTCTACATGCTCTTCAATTTCATAGGAAGAGCATCATAGAATACCAAAACACAGAAGAGAGCATTCATGTAAGATATCTAACTCCTTTATATAATAATGCATACAACTTAAAATAATTATATCTAGGGCTTTCTACAGATTACATACCATAATGCAACTTGACAATAAATGGATGATTTACTTCCACCAGAATATCCCTCTCCATCTTTGTGCGAACTCTGTCTCGAACTAAAAATTACAGATAGTTAGAATATATTACTACTGTATATAATTTCCATAGAAATTCCATCAAACAAAAATGTAAAAATATAAAACATAATTTTATAAGTTCCTAAATTTGCAGTCTATATATGTCTAAACAGTAATTACCATATACTCAGAAAGCAAATAAATTCAGTTTACATCTCAAGGTGGGTTAAAGTGACATAAACAGGTATTTGGTTAATATACATTTTTATGTATTGGTTCTTAATTTTTCAAATGAGTTTATTGATTAAAACTGAGCATGGTGCTTTCTGATCAAGCCTAGAAGATGGTGTATGTAAGTGTATGCAGGCAGTTGTGCTTTCTCAATACGTAATAGCAACACAGATGGAACAGAAAATAAATAAAAGAATATAGTTTAATAAAATAAGTTCTTTTTATTAAATGTGTTACTTTTTATGTCATTACATTTCTATCATGGTATACTCTCACTAAATTAAGATATATACAAATATCAAACCTAGAAATATAAATTACAGCTAAATTAAAAAAAAACTAAGACAAAAAAGTCAAGAACCATATGATTTCAATCATAGGTGGGATGGAAAACTGAAATTAACACATTAACAAATGAGAAAAACAAAGAAACAAAAATGTATAGACATAGACAAAAGTATGTTAACTATCAGAGGGAAGGGGGTAAGGGAGTAGTAAAGGAAAATGGAAGGGAAATGGGGTCGAATACATGGTAACTGAAGAAAATCTGATTTTGGGTGGTAGGCACACAATGCAATATGAATATGATGTATCATAGAAATGTATACTTGAAACCTATAAAAATTTATTAACCAATGTCACCCCAATAAGTTTAATTAAAAAAATAAAAAAGAAAACTAAATCTACTCAACTTATACAAGCAATACACAGCATATTTCTTAAAATGAGCTTTACCAAATTCTTTTTAAATAAGCTTTCTAATTCTCTACCTTTCAAAGAAGCTTTTTTTAACACCTTCATTGCATAGAGTTGCCCAGCATCAGGGCCCGTCTTCTTTCTAACAAGAAAGACCTAATAGGGGAATTAAAAAAAAGTAAAATTAACTTTCAAGCAATTTTTGCTATACATTCACATTAGCATACTCATATGCCCTTGCATTTATTATTTCATAAAGATAACATTCCTATGAATTATATGCTCTTACTTAATACTTTCTCACTTTCATTCATTTAGTAAATCACGCTCTCATACACACTACTGTGAAAAGAAAATTTAAAGAACATATGATATGGTTATGGACTTTGAGAAGTTTTTATGTAAAAGACAGAAAAAATATCAAAACAATTTGAGCTAAGGGAGCTCCTTTTAAGACCCCAAATCCTTTCTGTTACCTTAATAAAGAGCAACCTATGTGATGCCTATTAATTTGATACCTTCATTTCTACTTCCTTATTGGTCCATTTTAGAAGTTACCAGGAATTTTAATTTCTAATAAGAAATCAGGTGCAATTCTTATCTGTGTGCCCGGTAAAAGAATCATGATGGCAAATTACCTCAATAAACAAATAAAAGTTAAACTCTTTAAAGTTGCCAATCAAGCTTAAATAATATATCATATTTGTAAACTAACATTATGACTCATTAAAAGCTAAATTTTGAAAAGCCAGTTATAAAGATAAATGTAAATAGATTTCAGTTTTATAAGTGTTATTAGTAAAATGCAGCTTTAAAAAATAATTAGCAAAACCTGCTTACTGTCTCAACATGCCATCTCCAATTCTAGCATGTTCTATTTAAGTGTTGCTTAAATTGAAAATATGATCAAGTAACTAATTTGTTGACATAAAATTGCAGATGGGAGAGATGTTGAGTAATTTTTGTCTTGCCTATTTCCCAAGGTAAAGCTCAAAACCTTTTATGGCAGATCTTTTACTTGTAACTAGTGGCCTGGTGCAAAAAATTCATGCACGGGGAGGGGTGTGTGTGTTCCCAAAGCCCAGCCTGCACCCTCTCCAATCGGGGACCCCTTAGGGGATGTCTGACTGCCAACTGTGGGATCAGGCCTAAACCAGCAGTCGGAAATCTCTCTCACAATCTGAGACTGCTGGCTCCCAACTGCCTGCCTGCCTGCTAACCGTTTCTGCCTGCCAGGCTGATCCCCCTCTAACCACTCCCCTG